TTTCTTCCACTCTTTCCCCTACCGAGTTCAAGGAGGAATTGAACTACAACAAATTAAATGGCAACAGTACCCTGGGCAAGTCCAGAACAAAATTCTTTCATTACCTATTTACTGTCATTAGAAAATCCTTTTTAAACTTTAGCACCCCAAAAGTGTAATACATGGAACCTCCATAGTCAGCCACCTCAAGCTGACTGGATTTGCATAGACCGGACATGTACACTTCAGTACAGCAAGGCTACTTACTTCCTTCCGTTAACCACCTCTGCATGTTGACTAGTTTGTTACAGTCCCTTGGGTGGGCAACTTACAGAGTTTCTAGTGTATTTCCTCTCCCGCTGAGTCATTATTACCTAGAGCAGCAGTTCTCTAGGGTTAAAGGGTTGCAGCATTAGGAAGGTTGAGAACCACTGACCTACAGCATGCCAGTTTTTAAAGTGGTAATTTTCAACTTGGGGACTTTTCATTTGACATCCCTCAACCTCCTGAAGTGAGACACAACACGTCACAACCAAGAAAACTTCATTATACAATGCTCTCTACACAATTATTTATAACTGTTCTCATCTCCAAAGTATCTTCATGTTAAAAATTACCTGCCCATATACAGAAATCAATTATAGTTGCGAGTACAGCCAGTGTCGCCCCTCACATCCAAGCAGCCAGCACCTCGTGAGAGCGAGCACTCACCCCCCCCTCCCCGCCCCGTCCCGTGCTGTCTCCTCACTTTGGATGATGTCCGCTAATCCATATACAGTGCTTTGTGAGCCAGTATGCAATTTTGTCAGCACAAGGGATAGTGCTGAGGTGCCACAAAAGTCAAGACCACTACACTAGATTAAAAGAAAATCTAATTTTATGCCCGAGTTACCTTCAAAGGAAGGATCAACACATGGTCATAGGAAGGGCATCAGAGAAACCACTGCCGCCCGAGTGGATTTACCAGTAACCTCACCAATTACAGTGGAAAGAAACCACAGCTGAAGGACGTCATGAAATAGAATGAGAACAGAAGAATAACCCCCCTTCCCTCGCTGCTTTCTTGGTGGCCCCTGGGGTTTCTCCCCTCCTCCCCAGTGCTGGGGAACCAGGCCCACATACTCTTCTCTATATCACTCCCTCCCTTGGGAAACCTGCCCAGTCTTAGGGCCTTAATGTCACATCCACGTCAAAGGTAATTGCTACCTCCATCCCAAATCCTCTACCCAAGTCAACTAGGTATTTGCAAGCCTAATAGACGTCTCTAACTCAGTATGTCCAACAGGCGATCCCTGATCTCCCCTCACAAACCTGCTATACCCAAGCAGCATCAAGGTACTCCAGCAAAAAAACACTTGATCTCTAATTATCACACCCGATTCTCTTAGACATCCCATTACCCAGGTCCAAGTCACCATCAACTCTCCTTGGATTACCACAAACTACCCTACTGGCTTCTGTCTGTTAAGAAACAGTTCAGCAGTCTTAACAAAGCAGCCAGGGTGCTATTCAACTCCCAACACAGAGGGCAGACCATGCCGCTGCTCTGCTCAAATGCCCAATTTGTCAGAGCATAAGCCAGGCTCTACAACGTTCTAAGAGGTCCTGTGTGACCCAACTGCTTATTACCTTTCTGATCTGCCCACTGATAGATTCTCCTTTCCTCTTCCTCACTGGCCATCCTACTCTTCCTCAGAGCTCCTTCAACACACAAGGCACATGCTGGCCGTAGGGCTTTGCTAAAGCTGTTTCATCCGCCCAGTATGCTCTTCCCCAGACACACTTAGCTAACTCTCGCCTCCCCCTAGTTGATGTTCTTTCTTCTCAGTTGTACCCTGATTGTATATAATTCTGCACCTGCACTCTTTGACCCTAACTCCCAACCTCCATACTCAGCTTCCCTCACATTAGAGTTACTACCTCCTAACGTGCTAGATAGCATTTACTCCTTCGTCAGCCACTGCTTATGACCATCTTCCCCTGGCAGAGTATCAGCTTCTTAAAGGTAGGTATCTGTCTTAGCTGTTGTTCACTGACATATTATCGAGCCACTAAATAAACCCCGACAGAGTAGACAACCAGGAAGAACTTGCTGAATGAATGCAGAATGTTGGAAATGGAACTTCCACGGGAATTATATTAACCCTAGATACATCAATGCACCCAATGTTCCCATTATCAGATCCCTTTCTCTGACCCAGAACACAATCATTTGTGTCCAGGCTTCAAAAATCCCAAACCTAAACCCTCACAACATACTCATATGCCCACCCATCTTTATACTTAAAGAATTGACTTTTACAAATTCATCTCAAATGCCACCACTTTAGGGTTCTTGCCCAAACAAACATTTAAGCCACAATCTAATCATAAGGAAACGATCAAATTCAGAATGTAGCACATTCTACAACACAGCTTAATTCATCTGGACTCATTTAAATGTCAAAATCAAAACACATACAAGGTGAGGGAGAATATTCTGGATTATCAGAGCAATAAATCATATACAATGTACAATCATTGACTGGCTCAATTATGGTTGAAGGGTTGAACTTTTTCATAATAAAAACTTAGGGAAAAAAATTGATCTCAATATACATACTTTGTGTTCTGAATTAGGAGTAAACAGTGAAATACCCTAAAACTAGAAAATTATTTTTGTAACAAACCAAATTTAACTCTAAATTTTTCTAGACCAAAAAAAAAAAAAAAAAAAGTGACAATAGCCCAGGACGGGTGGCGACAGCTGCTCTGGGGCACTGCCAGGCAGCAGAGAGCAGTCCTTCTCCAGCAGTGGATCCTGAGTCCAGCAGCTGTGTCAACCTCAGAAGCCAAGAACTGAAAAATATGTCAAACACCAACTGCAGTGCTCGTTTATGAAGGTCGGAGACAGGAGGGACCAGTTACCCCATTCTAGATTGTCCTGCTCAGAAAAAGCATTGGGAATGCACAAAGTGACAACATGTGACATTAGTAATGATAAAACGAAGGGAGAGGCCTACAGGAAAGGGGAGTACAAGGGCACATGGAGACCAAGGGATAAAGGCTGTACACCTGCACCATCCGGCCAGGGTGGACTGGTGCCCATTCCTGGGTGGGCCTTTCCTCCCACACTAAGGGAGCAGAGGGAGATATGCAGGAGCTGGGTACCCACAGGACAGGATTGGTGGCTGCTCAAACACTAGCCCTAGGGCAGAGAGCTGGAGGGAGTGTGACTGGCCTGCATCTCTTTAGGGATAGAACCACCAACTGTGGCTCGATGTTTCCCTTCCAGAATACAGGAAGGTGTAGATGTGCAGTCTAGGGAGCAGGAGACCCAGCTACCTATCAAATATTAGGAGAGCAAGGTTCTGCCATCCCAGGACTCTGAATTCACTGAAGACGACGAGGGTGGTGTGGTTTTTCAGGGATCAGCTGCATAACTGACTATGGCTCCACTTTCCAGGCCCAGGTAGTCACCTTTGGGCAGAGCCCCCAGCTTTGCCAAACAGAAGAAGTCCTGCCCCCGCCACAGGCCACTTTTCAATCTCTACCTACAATCTGGATCACAGAGCCCCCACTTCAGTGACACGGGTCACAGAGTTTCCCAGAGTCAGGCTGTGGCACCCTTGGTCTGGGCATTTGCCATTGGCCTGGGGCACTGCCCACAGGGCCCCCCACTCCAATCACATGATATTGGTTCCCAGAATTAGGAAAACCAATTCCTATGTCCTTATAACCTGCCACAAGATGTCATGAAATTTCCACCCTTGGAACTTCACATCCAAAAGCATCTATGTTTTTTGTGATACCGGAGTACCACCTAATATTCTAGGAATTTATTTTTTAACTGTCCACAAGAAGACACCCAGAATCAAAGATGAAAACACACAAGGAAGAACCGACAACAAAAACAAATCACTGCCATCATGTAGTATCAGACCAGATCACACAAGGGAAAACAATGTAGCTACCCCAGAAGATCTCAACTACAAAGAAATCATGGGAACGACAGAAAGCAAATTCAGATCATAGACAGCAAAAATGATGAAGTGAAGGAAAATGAAAAACCAGCAGAAGAAAAATCCCAAAATCGACCCAAGAGTTAACGAAAGGACAAAGTCTCCAAGGATCCAGGCGCAAATTAGAAATTATATAAAGGAGCTAAAAGAATTGAAGAAGTCAGAGAGTCTGAAAACATAACACGTAGTTCCAGTAATAGATTGGACCATTGGAAGAAAGAAATCTCAGTGCTGGAAGAGGCTTTCAATCTATCCCAATCATTTAAAGAGGCAGACAAGAGTAAAAGCACAGCAGTCTCTTAGAGACTTACGGGACTACACGAAGTGTACTAACATACCAATTGTAGGTACCCCAAAGGCAAGAAGACAGTCCCAATACTCAGTTAAGGATATTATAGCTGAATTTTTTTCTAACATTGCTATAGATTTAAGCGTGTGCCTACTTGACGGGTATCTAACCCCAGGCCAACTCAATTCAAACCAAATATTTCCTAGACATACTGTAATCACCTGGCCAAAATCAAAATGAAAGAGAAAATTCTGCCAAGCACCCCAGGTGTAAGGAATAGCTTGCCTACAAGAACAAACTCATCAAATTTCAGCTGACTTTGTACAGCCACAAGAGAGTGGTCTCCCATCTTCAGTCTTCTTAAACCAAAAAAAAAAAAAAAAAAAGAATAAGAAATTACTACATAGTTGTCCCCATTAACTTCTTGACGTACAGTCAGGTGTTAGGGAACTCTGACTCATAAACCAGGGCTGGGTCTAACGCATTCGCCTCTCTTTACCATCACAACCCAGCCAAGTAGAAACCCGTGAAGAAACAACCAGCTATACCCAACACTAGACTAACACAAAAGTCCTGGTGCCTTCACTTTGTTACAAATTCTAGGTTATTAAATAAGCCTTGAAAGCATTTACCTACTAATAATAAGGGAGTAAAATTATTTTTTAAGAACCTCCATAATACCACAATCCCAAACGTGTCTGTATTCCTCTGCATATATCACAAGACAAGCGCTGGGTAAAGATGAATATTTATTCACTTTACAAAGAGAATGGTATTAAATTGCCATAAACAGCTCCATTTATAGACAAATATAACCATATATTACACCAGTAGCTGACTTAAACTTGCTTTCCCAAGATGCTTATATGGCTCCAGCTCTATTAGTTAGGTGAACACAGAAATCTCTGTTCTGTGAAGTCCCTCAGCGATAATGATTTTGTTTTACATATCCACAGGTGGGAAACAATAGATCCATTTGCTCAGCCCTTCCTTAGAGGTGAGCTTCCATCTGCAAGACCCCTAGGTGAGCAGTAAGCAAATAACTGGCTCATTGTTTTTTAAAAAAAAAAAAAAAAAAAATTTTTTTTTTTTTTTACTGATACTTTGAAAAGGCTTCTGTAGCGCACCAAAATACTTATTTGTACATACATAAAAAGTCTTGAGTCAGATTTGTCGCTTTAAAGGTAAACAGGTACCCCAACACTGCCAAGAGCAGGTAATGAGAAGGAAGGAGAACATTAAATTACTCAATTATAAAAATATTTTCTTTGGAAAAAAATTCCAACAAGGTTATTAATATCGAAAACCAAAGAGAAAAAATAAACAATTGTTCTTTGATCCATTAGTAATTTAAATAAAAATGAAACTTCTTCAAAAGCAGCTATAACTGAATTTTTTAAAAATTGCAGGTAATGAGCACTTCTAAATCTATCTATACACTGATGATTCTTTACAAGCAATTTTCAGTCAAGAAAAATCCTTAATATGGCTAACTCTTTAGTTTTTTAATTACCATAATTTTTCATTTTGTTTTTAAAAAAATATTTCACGTGACAGCTTAAAAAATAAGTGGTTATTTTGGGGAAGCACTCCAAATAATTCAATCTGAGTCAAGTCAGATTACCACGGTTAAAGACAAGCTAGGGATACTGGTGATTTTAAAACCACAATTATTTGTACTCCCATTTTTAGTGATCCCATCATATTTTATGAAAATGTACCAAATTAAAAAAATTGTCACTAGTGCTGCTATTCTGTATCTGGATTTGATGAGATACCAACCTGAGATAAGAGCTGACTCCTTCACAACAGCCCAGTTCTTGAACCCTATGGGAAAGGTCTTTATCTTCACTTAAGTCAATTCTCGATATAATCAATCATATTAGGGTATTATATTATAAAAATATACCATATATTGGACACTCATCTCAGTACATTGCAGAAAATGTGTCTATTTACTGTGTAAAGTTTATTAACATTTGAATGAAACATTCTTATTTACACAGTTATGTTGGGGCACTCAGGACAGCAAGATGGTATGGGAACCACCACTGTGAATTTGGAAATGTGCAGCGGTCCTTGGCATCCTGGCACAGAGACATCCTCCCCAGGAGGACTCGGCACCAGCGGGCAAGGTGAGCCAGAGTTTGCACAGTTCGACTGGCTTCCTTTCCTGTCTTCATTCTTCTTCACTTTCATTTTCAGGATCTAAATCAGAATCTCCGTTTAATTCTTTTTCACTTGCCACATCTCTGTCCTCACCATTTTCTTCATCTTTTTCAGCATCATCATCTTCCTCTTCATTCTCTTCATCAACTTCCTCATCTTTTTCACTTTCTTTCTCCTCCTCATCTTCATCCCAATTATCCTAGGAGAAACACCAAGCAAGGAAAGCATTTATGAAGGCCTCAGTCTTACAGAATACAGGACATAAAGGTTAATTCTTGTACGAGGAAACATATCACTCACATCAGAATCCTTATCTGCTATTTCATCGTCAGACTCCTCTTCAGAAGATTCTGTAGGGAGAAAACACACAGCCTTAATTTTGTGAACAAAGCAGAGGGCGCACCTCTAGAAACTAAACGTAATGAGATTCCTGAATTTACTGTCAGCAAAAATCCATCAAGATGTAACATTAAGTTAATATTCTTACCTGCATGAAGATCTCACTGGGGCAAACTAAGCTTCAAAACACAAAATACCATCTTAAAAGACTAAGCTATTTCTGGGCCACTAAATAACCCCAGTTGATGAGGAACAAGGTGTACATTAAAAAGCTGGCTTGGGTGGTGCCCGTAACTCAGTGGGTAGGGTGCCGGTCACATATACCAAGGCTGGCAGGTTCAAACCCGGCCCGGGACAGCTAAAACAAAATTGACAACTGTAACAACAAGAAAAAATAGCCAGGCGTAGTGACAGGAGCCTGTAGTCCCACCTACTTGGGAGGCTGAGGCAAGAGAATCACTTTAAGCGCAAGAGCTGGAAGTTGCCATGAGCTGTGATGCCCACTATGTCGGCACTCCACCAAGGGCAACACGGTGAGACTCTGTTTCATTAGCATTGCTTTTAACCCACAGTGAAAAGTACCAATTACAGGAATATTAGTAACTAATACACTGGACATATGATTGTGGGGAACAAAACATTCAACTCAGATTATTTTTTAAGCATCATGGGAAACATTTTTACAATGGAGATGAAAGGCCATCAGCAACCTCAGGATCCATCACTAATGAAAGAACAAGTGTAACGTGGCTCATGATGTGACATCATACGAAAACACATCAGCATTAATGCAACCCCCACAAAAACATCTGACTTAGAACTTATCCAGCCTTTAGACCTCATGTTCAGTTTAAAGACTTATAAAGTTTAGAGGAACAAACTACACGAAACAAAGAAGCAAATCCACAACCAAAAGGCGAAGCATACTGAGAAATAAAACTGTCCAGTCTCTTCAGCAAATCCATGTCACAGAAGGGTGAATGCTTAAAGAATTTTTAAAAGGAGATCTTAGGAATATAGCACCAGGATTCAATACCAAGATCCTAGACTACACCCTAGCTTGGATAGCCCAGTGTTAAAGGACATTTTAAGGCTAACTGAGGAAAGATGAAGATGGACTGGGCATGAGATAAAACGAAGGAACTAATTTTGTTAGGTGTGCTAATGTTATCAAATATTATGGAATAATGCTCCTATTTTTAAAGATATTCTAACTTTCTTCCCATATATACTTTTTCTTGAGAAAATGAACCATTATATACTGAGGAAATCCCCTTGTGTGCCTATCTCCCTGAATCCATTCCCTGAAAGAAACCACTATCCTGAATTTACCATTCCTGGGTATGCTGATCTACTATTATAATACACACATGTATCCACAAATTGTATATACAGTAGTCTTCCTTATGTGCACCTGTGTTCTATAATTTCAACTGCAGTCTGAAAATATTTAATGCAAAATTGAGAAATCAAGGATTCCTGTGTTTTACAGTGCACACCGTTCTGACTAGCAGGGTGAAATCTCACACGATTGTCCCCTTGGTCCAGTGTCTCCAAGCTGTGCACTCTACCAACCCACTAGCTGCTTAGGAGACATCTGAGTGATCAGATAAACTGTTGAAATATCACAGTGCTTATGTTCAAGTTACCCTTGTTTTACTAATAATACTTTACTAATAAGTAATAGTTGTATCTCTTGCTGTGCCTAATTTAGAAATTAAACTTTATCACAGGCATAAATGTATAGGGGAAACCGTGGTACATTACATAGGAGGGTTCAGTACTACCTGAGGGTTCTGGCATCCACTGGGAGTTCGGGACTGCATCCCCAGCAGATAAGGGTGAACTACTCTACTATCGTTTTTTGGGTTTTCAAACATTTTAAGTGTGTGTACACACTTATATACAATTACATGGTACAAATCTGTGACTTGATATTGTAATCATACTTACCTATGCTGATAACGTCTATCTCTATTTCACACACCTCCCTAATAGTGTTAAGCTAACGGAATAAACCATTTTAAATACTGTTCCCACTAATGAAGAATTGTGTTTATAAAATTTATAAAATTTTAAATTAAAAAAAAAAGCCACAATGAACATACTTTTACAATTCTCTTTGCATACATATTTTAAGCCATATTCTTGAGTTTTTTAGTCTTGAAATCCTTTTATAGTCTTAAAGCAGGTGTCCTCAAACCATGACCCACGGGCCACATGGAGCCCACCTAGGACATTTATCCGGCCCACCAGGTGTTTTTGCTGGCGCTGCCTGTCCTGCTTAGCAGCCAACTCATCCTGGAGCCCGCAGTCCGGCCCTCCAACAGTCTGAAGGATAGTGAACTGGCCCCCTGTTTAAAAAGTTTGAGGACCCCTGGTCTTAAACTATTGATGGTCCCCCAAACTTCTGTTTATGTGGGGAAAGTCTATCAATGTTCATCACATTAAAAATTAAAATTTTGGGGTGGCGCCTGTGGCTCAGTGCCTGGGGTGCCGGCCACATACACCAAGGGTGGCAGGTTCAAACCCAGCCCCCACCAAACTGCAACAAAAAATAGCCAGGCCTTGTGGCAAGCGCCTGTGGTCCCAGCTACTCAGGAGGCTGAGGCAAGAGAGCTGGAGGTTGCCGTGAGCTGTGACACCACAGCACTCTACCGAGGGTGACAAAGTGAGACTCTGTCTCTAACAAAAAAAAAATTAAAATTTTGGGCCATGCCTGTGGCTCAATAAGTAGAGTTCCGGCCCCATATACCAAGGGTAGTGGGTTCAAACCCAGCCCTGGCCAAACTGCAACAAAAAAATAGCCGGGCATTGTGGCGGGCGCCTGTAGTCCCACCTACTCAGGAGGCTGAGGCAAGACAATTGCCTAAGCCCAAGAGCTGGAGGTTGCTGTGAGCTGTGACACCACAGCACTCGACCAAAGGTGACAATGTGAGACTATCTTAAAAAAAAAAAAAAAAGAAATAATAAAGTTAAAATTTTTAAATTAGAAAATATTCAATTCATTTGCAAATGCCAATCCATTCATTGCATGTTAACATAAACATGTCTTAATGATACTTCTCTCCCCACCAAAAAAAATTTACTAAGCGGCAACATGTTACATTTTTATAAAGTTCCCATGTTTGCTTCTACGTTCCATATGTTTATATGTTAATTTATTTGGACTATATACCCACATGATCAGGTGAAAAATGGAGAACATCACGGACCTCTTACAGGGTCATGGGCAATCCCCGTTACTCTGGCCACACTGGATAAGTACCAGTCATTAGGGTACACTCCTAGGAATACTCTTGATATATGGAAAAACATATCAATTTTTGACTTTATCTAAGATTATCAAGTTTGCGTTCTGTATAAAGAATGCACATTTACCCTCACCACAGCATGAGTTTCCATTTACTGCAAATCCTTGTCAACACCTATTTCAGTTTTTAAAATTTATCAAAATATGAAGTATTATTTCACTAAGGTTTTAACCTGCATTTCCCTAAAGTGGTTTTATGCTTATTAATCATTTGTTCTATCTCCCAGGAAACCATCTGTATATCCTATATTAATTTTAATTTTTTTCCTCTAATAAGAAAAATGTTCCTTTAATATATTAAGGTATAAAGAAAAAACAAGTAATGTGTTGTGTAATACAGGTAAAATTTTTTGTTTCATAAGAATTATGCATATTTCTAACAATTTACTGAACAGGGTATCTTTTCCACATCGATGGAAAAACATGTCATCAATGTTAATTATACCAGGATTCCACAGAACCATCAGTTTTTCATGGGTCATTACATCAATCCTTCTATTCTTGGACTTTAGCTTTTTAAGTCTTACTCCTTAAACACTTCTATAATTGATATGCTATATAGGATACTTGAGAAAGGTCTAAAATAGTCTTGTCTTGTTGTCTGTGGTTTCAGTAAAATTATACTGATGCATAAAATGCCTAAATTGATTTGAAATGACAAAAATGTCCTGTTTCTTGAAGACTTGATAAAAGCACCTGCTAAATCTCTGGGGGTGGAATCTCATGATAGTCGGTTTAATAGCTACTGGCTTTTTCAAATTTTGTACTTCTTTTTAAGTAAATTTTGGTCATTAAAGTTTTCTTAAAAATTATGTACATCACTTAGACTGTGAAATGTATTAGCATAAAATATGTCTGTGTTCATAATGCTCTTCTATTTATAATCTCTTCCATGCCTAATGCCCTAATTGTCTTACTATAAATACTTGTGCCTTCTCTTTTCTTATTTATCACAGCTTTTTGCCTGTTTTTGCCACATACTTGCCTATTTTATCAGAAGAGGTATGCCAAAGCAAGAAGAACTTGCACTCATGTTTTTGCAAAGATGACAGAACTGAGTCACCACAAAATTCTAGACGCTGCCCTACCCCCAACCTTTACCTTCTTCATACACCAACTTTGCCTTCTGTTCAGGCGAAGTCATTCCCTTTGCTTTCTCTGACGCTGTAACCTGAAAGAAGATAAAATACTATTCTAAAAAGGATAAGCATATCCCAAGTACCACAATCACCACCACATCCCACCTTCTCCGCCACTGGCTGACTCATCCTTCCACTGTTATAACGGATGACCTTAATACAATGTGGATCAAATACAGGCAAAGATTCTTCAGGAAGAAAACAATTACTCTTTAAAAGCTCAAAAACTCTCTGAGGTGATTAGAATACCTTTCTGTGTCAATATTTTAACCATAAAAATGTTCTTTAACTTGTTGACTATATTAATGTTTGAAATACAATGGGAAGAAAAAAGTCTGAGTCAAAATTGAAACAGGCATAACTACACTCTAACATACAAACGTATTTCCAAGTGCAAGACTGGACTTCGTACTGAAATAGGGAGTTCTGAATGCCAGGGCAATGATCCTTATTCCTCTCTTCGGTCCTAACACAGCCCTAAGTGTGAACTTAGAACAATTTGCTCTACTCACTTGTGTTATTAGAAGAATAAGCTTTCCATGAAGGTGTGAGAGTTTCTGAAACGTCTTGACTCTGCTTTCCATTAACTGGTAGAGTGTCCCCAGCTGGGGTACCAAGTCAGGTAACTAGAAAAACAGATGACAGTTTGATATTATTACCACGTTATTGAGATGACAAAACATACAAATCATGATCAGTGATGCTTCACTGCACCACAAGCCTAAGCTCACGAGTACTTCCAGTGGTAAGGGATCCTTGCAACACAGCCTGGCAAGATCACAAATTTTCACGGAAGGCCACATGATGGGAAAAAACAATAGTTTTATAATAATAATGATACAAAGTTAAGAGGGAGAAACTCCAAGGTAGGACCAACTCCAGGTTAGGACTTCTCTGTATTGATCAAAACATTCTAGGTATAAATACTCAAGGTTTTCAAAAATGCCCCTACCATACATCTCCAGGCTGAAGGGCGTGCTTTCCTCTGACTCTTACCCTCGCTGACAGCACATTATCTACCCTTATCATGAGACCCCAAGGAGCTAGATCAAGTTTTTCCCACCTCCCAGAGACTAGTAGGACAAGGTGATAGAGTACAAAGTTGATGTGACAGCATTCTGAACCTATTGGTAATGAATCCTCTGAAGCATGCTTAAGAAATGAAAGCAGAAAGTTCTTTTATTTGTCCCCCTAGAGCAGTGGTTCTCAATGGGTCACAACCCCTTTGTAACAATGAAAATACATCACGGCATTAGGAAGGCTGAGAACCACTGCTCTAGAAACTTCAGGGACCCCACTCTTTGCCCTTTGATTAGAATTTATCTGCCCTCTTATTTCTGACACTGGCATAAATAAAGAGTATTCAGCCAAATGTTAAAAATTTTAAACAGCAGATAGACAAAAAAAAGTGAATAAAGTTACAATATAACTACCTTTTACTTTACCATCTCCCTTTCATGTGTCCCTGCTCAGATTGTGAGCTCTAAGATCCCAAAACCTAGACATCTATGACTATTTCATGTCAATCACCAAGCCGCTCAAGACTTCACGCTCATCACTGTCGCCCAGTTCACCTCCCAAGACTTCTGCAGGCCGGGAGACCTAGCACCCATGATTATTGCTGCTCTTCTCTCCCCTACCCTGGCCTCTTAGAATTATTCTCCCTGACATACTAAGAAACTGCTGACCTCGAAGGAGGTTAATCAATAGTTTCCACTATGTCAAACCACTGAAAGCAAAAGGAGACTTAACACAAAGAACAAGAAATAGACACCAAGCAGGAATTGGATGAAACTGTGTTAAGACCTGAAAAGCTGTCTAAAAAATAATTAAGTATTTTTCTAAATACGCTCTAAAATACTTAAGAAAACTGATTATAAATTGCTAATCAAATAAAAGAAATTGTTTAGTTTTACTTCTAGCTTAAAATATAACCGTAGTAATGATGTGGCAAAGAAGCCGCCCCTATCATGAGAGTAGACGTTTTTTCTGATGTTGCTGTAACATTCATTCCCTCTCTTCTTTTTTTTTGAGACAGAGTTTCACTACGTTGCCCGTGGTAGCCTCCCAAGTAGCTGGGACTACAAGCACCCGCCACAACGCCTAGATATATTTTTTTGTTTGTTTGTTTTTGACCGGGGATGAGTTTGAACCCACCACTCCAGCATATGAGGCTAGCGCCCTACTCCTTTGAGCCACAGGCGCTACCCCACCTGGCTATTTTTTTTGTCGTTGTAGTTGTCATTGTTGTTTAACAGGCCTGGGCTGGGTTTGAACCTCCCAGCCCCGGTATGTGGCTGGCTCCCTAGCCACTGAGCTACAGGTGCCACGCCCACTCCCCCTCTTCTTACACAGATAAGCAAGAGCTGACCGTAGCTCTAACAAAAAGTCAGGTAGTAAATATTTAATTTATACCATTTTTATCACAAATGTTTCATTCTCCTGAAACAAGGCAGGACAGACATGTTTGCATATTAAAAACTTTACAAACCTGCTAAATTTTTTCAAAGAGAGGGTAAGGATTTATACAATAAAAAATAATTAAGGATATATTTATCTTTTTTACATATACATATATACAGAAAAGCATTTGATTGTGAATATATTAATATGTAACTTTTCTCCTTTCAGCATTTTTCAGAGTTCTCTACAGAATATATATCACTTGTAAACGAGGTGTGGAGAACAATTTATTATATAAAAGGTCACAACAGCGATATTATGAAAAGGCTCACATCACTGCACTGAGGGGAAAACAAAATCTCTAACAGGAGCATCTAACAGTTGACAGATAGGAGATGGTTTTGGTCAGCCATCCTTATCAAAGCCAAACTACTCATACTCAGCAACTGTAGCTGAAAAGACTCACTGTGGATAGGTATGATGCGTGAACCGTTAACACACATTTTAGCCACTGAACCATTACAACAGCACTAAAAGAAAAGAAAGAAAAATCCAAGTAAACTAATGTTCACGAGTTCAAAATTAAACTTAACTGAGCTATAAAATTAGAAAAACCCAAACAGGTGACAGAAGATCTAGAAATTGTGCTCTGTGACGATGACTATAAATACATCACTGTGACTACCACAGTCCTTTCATTCTTTCACTGAGTCTGATATCTGAAGAGGGAGGGGGGTACACACCAGAAAACAGGACAAAACTTCCTTCCTGTAAACCAATTCAAGAACACAACCAATGCTTTACTTCATAATTAACTGATACCAGGGCAGTAATCGTCATCCAAGCTGAATTCAACTGATTTTGCATTTCATGTTCATGATAAACGTAAAAAAAGACAGAACTCATCTTCTATGCTCTGGAACAAACATCAAAGTCTTCCACTCTAGCATTGAAAGGCAAATATAGGCCGAAAATGCACAAAAGCCAGTCCTAATTAAGGTTAATGCAGTCTTTCAGGGGAAAAAATTTATACAGAAAACCTGTATTTTTAACTACATAGATACTGATAATAATATTCAAGCTCAGGCTCTTGAAGATACCAACTTTGAGATTTACATGTTTAATCTTAAGCAGCTACCAGAAGTTGGACAAGTTCTAAAAATGCAATTTTACGTAGCCTGATTAAGATTAAATCATTAAACAAAATAAGACTAATTTTTTTAAATGGCCTGTTAATATAGCTGATATGCCTACTACATAGGAGTTTCTGAAAGAAAACTGTGATAAAAGGTTATAAAAATAAGAATCATTCAACTAAGGACAAGAGTAATATATGACACTTAAAAGAGTTTTATTAGTTAGAATTTAATTTCATGCTGTCATAGTTTTGTTTTTAATAACCACCCCTAATCTAGTTATAAAAACAAAGCAATTTAAATTGCATAAATATCTTACCTATTAGGATGTCCTTGCAACCTCTTTGTAAGCTAAGGAAGAGAAAAACACCATTAGCAACAGCACTTCAGGGCAACCAATCTCCATTCATTAATTCCCACAATACAATGACTATCTTAAGAAATCATTTTTCCATTTAGTAATCTATTTTGAACAAATATAAATATATTCTATGATTATATCCCCACAATCAGACAATTACCTAATAAAAATCTAGGCTAGCATGTATATGAATGAAATGTCCAGAATAGGCAAATCTATTGAGATGGAAAATAGATTAGTGACTGCCAAGAACTGGGAGGAAGGGACAGTAGACAATGGTTAGTAACTGTCTTTTGGGGGTATAAGTGCACAATAATCTGTTAACATACTAAAAACACTAAACTTTAAAGGGATGAACTTTATGGTACATTAGTTACATTTCAATTTTTTTAATATAAATACAAAAATCAAGGTTAGGCAAATTTTATTTTAAAGTAAATATTCCAAAAACAAATGACCAGCGTTTTCTAATACAAGACACACTGCCTTTTTTTTTTTTTTTTGGCCAGGGCTGGGTTTGAACCCACCACACCTCTGGCATATGGGGCCAGGGCCTTACTCCTTTGAGCCACAGGCACCGCCCTGACACTGCTTTTTTAAAAACAGAAGTTTCCAATACCAATAACAGTAAACCAGCCCACACTATTAATACCAAAACTATTCTCACAAAATACTTCAGCAGCACATTAGACAAATGTAATCAAAAGTACAATTTCTAATGACAAAGAATCCACTTTACCTCTAGGCCTAATTTTTTTTAACAATTTGTACCCATTCTTTTACAGCAAGCTTTAAATGATGTATCACTTTCTATGTAAGAGCCGAGGAACTGCTGTGTTGCCCAGGCTGGAGTGCAGTGGCTGTTGGTAAAGGTAAAGACGCCAAGGACTCTTCCTTTCACTGCCTCAGGAATTCACCAATTTCACTTATCTGTCTAATGTTCTTTCTTCCTATTCACCTGTCATCCACACTTTAAAAATGCCATGTCTCCTTACATATTACAAATCCATTTCTCTAAATACTAGATTTTCCCTTTAAGTCATGGCATTACAAACTTTAAATGAACAGAAAAGTCACAGTTGGGCTCATGCCTGTAATCCCAGCACTTTTGAAAGGATGAGGTAAGAGGATCACTGCAGGCCAGAAGCTTGAGGCCCTGCCTCTACAAAAAACATAGTAAGGCCCTGCTTCTACAAAAAAAAATTTTTTTAATTAGCTGACTTTGGTGGTGGGTGCCTATAATCCTGGTTACTTGGAAAGCTTAGGCAGGAAGACTGCCTGAGCCTGAGAGTTCAAGGTTGTAATGAGCTGTGATCATGCCACTGCACACGCAAAGGAACAGAGCAAGGCCCTCTTTCTAAAGACAGAAAAGAGTAATCAGTTACCTCTTGCAATAATGGAATAATAGCATGCAGGGGCATCCTTAACACAGTCTTCTTTATTAGATTTAAATTCCTAGTTTGAAGTACTTTCTGTGAGAAAATAAAAGGATTATTAAAATAAGCATATTCACAAGCTAAGGACACTACAGGAAAAATTATCTATAAAAATGATTTTAACAAGACCAAGGCAATAAACTACCAACTGAATTTAGCAAATAAAGGCTAGAGGGACTGAATGGAGAATAATATATATTATGTCTATGACTACCAGATAGTCTTCAGGCATTAGAAAATTTACTTCATTACACAGGTTTCTTACCAGTACTTTAATGTAAAACACAAAAGAACATCTCTAGATATTTAAAATTTAAATACAGATAATCCACACCCCTATATATGGGGTGTGCACAGACCGTTTCGGAGATGTTTCCAAACCTCCATTTTATGAAACGAGAGCTGTATCCAGCCAAGAGTTAGCAAAACATAAAATCACACTTAGAAAGCAAGAAATCTTCTTAAATCAAGTACCAACTTTTGACAAAATTTTAAACCAATCAAAAGGTAACAAAGAAAGCATCTGAATCAAAACCCTTTAAGGATCTATCTACATGGCAGACCCAGTCTCCACTCTAGGTTACAGCAAAGGAGACAGGGAAGGCAAGTCCTGGTCCTGCCCCTTAAAAGCAGCACATTCCTGGGCAGGGCGTTCAACTTCTCCACATAACTAACGTGCTTCGCAGAAGCAGAGGGTGGGAAATTAGAGTCTGTTCACATCTCTGATTTCCCTTTCCTCTTAAATACTCTTAAACATTTATTCTTTCAAAAGGGTTTATATTAGCTTCCCTAATGTTGTAAGTATGTTTTGGGGACAGATGTTGCTATAAAAATCATGCTTTGAATACAAATAGCAGAGTCAGCACGATTAACTTCTGTCAAAGATGTAGTTAAAAAAAATAAGCCCATAAAACATGGTTAGAACTACCAAGAAGATGGTGGTGGTGATGATGATGGGGTTTTCTTTTGCAACTTTACTCCAGTACAGGTGAAGCATAGGGAACAGTGTCTATCTGATCAGTATGACACACTCGTCTACCCATGAAATAAACACTATAATAAAAACAAATGCACTCTGTCACTCTCAAGTCTGCTTGGGACTTTCTACAAGGTATCCCTCCCTTTACCCATAATTCCCTGGCAGCTACTAACTATAAACTAGTCTATGTTTTCCAGAATTTTTATATAAATGGCATACTTTATTGCTTTTTTATTGTCTAGTTTCTTTCACACAGATTATGTTTGAGATTCTTCCCTATTGCTGGTCTATCAATAATACACATCTTATATTGCTAAATGAACAATTTGTTTATCCATTCATCTGTTGAAGGTCATAGGAGCTCTTTCCAGTTTGGGGCTATTACAAATAAAATGGCAATGAACATTCATATAAAGGTCTTTGTATGAATATACGAGTGTTTTTCTCTTGGTAAATAAATACCTAGGAGTAGAATGGCTGGATCATGTGTTAGGAATTTCCTTAACTTCTAATAAACTGCCAGCTTATTTTCCAAAGTGATTATACCATTTTTTCCGACCAGCAAGAGTTCTAACTGCTCTACATCCTCACCAACAGATGACACTGTCATTTTCATTTTAATGCATCTATAATGAGGATGTGGCATTATTTCGTTGTGGTTTAAATTTGCATTTCTGTGTTAATTAATGATGTTCAGTACTTTTATATGTGCTTATTGGCCATCTGAATTTTTTAAGTATTCAAACTTTTACCAATTGTTTTTCTCTTTATTTTTCCTTTAAGAGTTTATGTTTTTTGTAATATAGCTAAGAAATTTCTCCCCTATTCTTGTTCACCTTGATTTTCTCCTGCTTTCTTCTGGAGGTTTAACAGCATTAGGTTTTATAAGTAGTCAGCAGTCTATTTTGTATTCATTTTTAAGTACAGCATAAAGTTAAGTTGAGATCCATCTTTTTCCAATTGTATATGGTCTATTTCTGGACTCTTATTTTGCTCCCTTAATCTATCCTTACTTTTTTACCAATGTCAAACCATCTTGACTACTGCAGCTTTATCCTGAAATCAGGTAGCGTAACTTGCTCTTTATTTTGTAACTGCTTTGGCTATTCCATATCCTTTCTGTTTCCATACAAATTTTAGAAAAAGTTTGTCCATTTCTACAAAGGTGGCTAACAGGACTACTGGAATTTTAATTGGGAATTTAATTTGGGCAGAATTCCTCACCTTAAAATAAAATTTTTTTTCTTTTCTTTTTTATTTTTGAGACAAAATCTCACAATGTGGCCCTCGGTAGAGTGCTGTGGCATCACAGCTCACAGCAACCTCAAACTCTTGGGCTTAAGCGATTCTCTTATCTCAGCCTCATAAGTAGCTGGGACTACAGGCGCCCACCACAACGCCTGACTATTTTTTGGTTGCAGTTGTTTAGTTGGTGGGGGCTGGGTTCGAACGCACCACCCTCAGTGTATGTGGCTGGTGCCATAACCACTGTGCTATGAGCACCAAGCCAATAAAGAATTTTCTAATCCACAAACATGGTTTAGAGCTCCATTTACTTCAACCTCTATTAATTTCTCTGAACTGTTAGAATCTTGCATTCATCTCCTTAAAACGTACTCAAGATACTTTTTGGTAGCAATATAAATGGAACTTTTTTTTTTTTTTTTGAGACAGTCTCACTACGTCACCCTCGGTAGAGTGCCGTGGCATCACAGTTCACAGCAATCTCAAACTCTTGGGCTTAAGCAATTCTCTTGCCTCAGCCTCCCAAGTAGCTGGGATGACAGGCGCCCACCACAAACCTGGCTATTTTTTGATTACAGTTGTCATTGTTGTTCAGCAGGCCAGGCCTGGACTCAAACCCGCCAATTTCAGTGTATGGGGCCGGCACCCTACTCACTGAGCTATGGGCACCAAGCCATAAATGGAACTTTTAAAAAATACTTAAATATATATTTTTTAAATACTCAAAAAAATTTATCTCCTATGGATACCATAAATTACATAAATAAAGTAGATTTTATTTTCTGCATAAGCTATAGACTATCTCATTGGATTATATTTCCACCTTCCAAAAGCAATTAATTTTTTTTTTTTCCTGGAAACAGAATTCACTATATCGCCCTCGGCAGAGTGCCATGGCATCACAGCTCACAACAACCTCAAACTCTTGGACTTAAGCGATTCTCTTGCCTCAGACTCCCAAGTGGCTGGGATTATAGGCACCCATCACAACGCCTATTTTTTTGTTGCAGTTGTCATTGCTGATTTTAGCTGGCCTGGGCCAAATTTAAACCTGCCAGCCTCAGTGTATGTGGCCCTACCCACTGAGCTACAGGCACCACCCCAAAGCAATTAATTTTAATATCAAATTTTCTATGACAGATATTCTGAAACCCTTAGAAGGCCCCATGTTGCAGCCCTATCATTGCTCACTTTCTTCTTCTTTCCTATTTCCCATGTCCTCCTGAAGCAACTTTGGGGAATGAGGAAGACGAAAAATACGTTTTTTAAACTCATCTCTTTTTAGAGTGCAGAGTATAGAAGAACAGTAACACTGGGAATATTTCCATGCTTTTAATTATTTTTTGTTTCAAAAAAGGGCTATTTTAAATACTTTTAAAAATCTTTTCTGGCATGAAATTCTTCGTCACTCAACTGTTTTCCAATTATTTCTACTAAGTAATACAAACAAAAGCCTTTATACATTAAAAAGTGCTTCCATAAACATTTGTATTTGTCCTTTTGGCAACCCTATGACACTGATAAAGTTATACAGTAACACTTTAAAGGTTCTTGCCAAAAAAAAAAAAAAATTCTAAAATGAATCTCATCAACATTCTAGATATAACTAAATCTACATCTAGATTCCCAAGCTGCTAAATCTAACTTGTTCAGGAAACATAATGGACAAAGTAATACATTAAATGACACTAGAGGCTTGGCGCCTGTGGCTCAAGTGGTTAAGGCACCAGCCACATACACCTAAGGTGGCGGGTTCGAATCCACCCTGGGCCTGCCAAGCAACAATGATGGCTGCAACCAAAAAATAGCCCAGGCATTGTGGCGGGTGCCTGTGATCCCAGCTACTTGGGAGGCAGAGGCAGGAGACTCGCTTGAGCCCAGGCGTTGGAGGTTGCTGTGAGCTGCAATGCCACAGCACTCTACCCAGGGGGACAGCTTGAGGCTCTGTCTCAAAAAAAAAAAAAAAAAAAAATGACACTAGAGATGCAGGAGGCAAAATCCAGAACGTGAGACTGTCTACTGAGCAAATAACCTACCTTCTTCAAATAATAAATTGAGAGAGAGAGAGGAGAATGTACCAACAAAATACTTGTATACTGTGAACTCTAGTAGAATACTGTGTTAAAGAAAGCAAAAAACTGAAAATAAAAAGTTTATAAATAGACAAACAGGGAAATATAAACACTAACATTTTGATAATTTTCAAGAATTACTGTTTTTTAAAGTACAATAGGTTTTTTTGAAAGGAGTTTTTAGGTTGAATAGGGATGTACTGATGGATACATTACTTGATCATTTCTGAGGTTTGCCTCACTATAACCTCTTGCAAGACAAGTAGAACAGCTGAATCAGTGCTAGACTGGCTAGTGCTGATAATTTTTGAAACTGGGTAATGGATTCATGGTGCACTATTCTAAATGTTTTGAAATATTTCTTTTTAAAAAAATGGGTACCTAATTCATTTGTGCCTACTGAGGAAGGTTTCAAAGCTTAGTTAAGTAGGCAATGAGGGCACATAAGTCATTACTCCATTTCACCAAATCCTCACCTAGGTTTCTACACCACAGTTAACTAAAATCTACCTTCCAAAATACATACATTCACAAGCTATTTTAAAGTAATTTTAGGTTTATAGACCTAATTGGTTTCCACTCTTGTGGAAAATCAACTTAGATACAAATATAAGATATTCCCATTTAGGCTCAGCGCCAATACCACAATGGTTACATACAGTGCCAGCCACATGCACCAAGGATGGCAGGTACGAACCAGACCCAGACCAGCTAAACAACAACGACAACTGCAACAACAACAACAACAAAAATAGCCGGGCATTGTGGTAGGGACCTGTAGTCCCAGCTACTTGGGAAGCTGAGGCAAGAGAATCACTTAAGCCCAAGAGTTTGCGGTTGCTGTGAGCTGTGACACCACAACACTCTACCAAAGGTGACATAGTGAGACTCTGTCTCAAAAGAAAAATGATATTCCCATTTAAAGCAAATAAAATCTGAGACACTTTCCACAGGTTACAGATTAAAAGTCACATTTATACTAACTGAAACCGTAACACTGCTATCAGTCAGTAAGAATGAATGTACTTAACAAATGGAAATTACTTTAATCCAGCAGTTCTCAACCTGTATGTAGTTCATGACCCCTTTGGACTGTATTAAAGGTTTGCGGCATTAGGAAGGTTAAGAACCACTGCTTTAATCTGACCAACAATGCTTGAACCCAACTGTTTTTCACTCTTAAATTTTCTAGATAAACCACAGTCAAGTTTTGGAATTTAAAAGGACCAAATTGAATAACTTCATACAAGCAGTCACCAACTTACCCACAAATCATAAATGCTTCCCTTATATAAAGTTTCTAGCACTTCACCTCTAAATATTTTATAACATAACCCCCAACCCTCTTGAATTTTTCCCCCAAACCTCCTACCCATTGCCAAGGTTCCACCTCACAGCCCCCTCTCACGGCCAGGGGGAAATAAGTTTCTGGAATCCAGAGTAAAAACTCAGGAACGCATTTTCCTACAGAAAAAAATATAAATTGTGATCTAGAATGCTGAGAATTATATTCAGCTATACTATGTTTATAAGGCTTTTGTGAACTAAAGCCTAAGAACCTATAATTCACAACAATATTTCTATGAGAAAATGCATTCCAGGTTTAAGATAATTCAAAGCAAGTCTTTGTAGGTGGGTGACTGTGTGACACCAAATGATATGTTTAACTAAACTCATAAAACATGGCTATTCACTCCGTGAATGCACTACATCAGTAACTTTCTAAGAAAAATTGAACACCTAAATTCATTTATAAACTGTCATAATACTTACGTTTAGCATTTCCAAATCATTGCTTTCTAAGCCCTGTGTAAGAAGAACTGGAAAACTGTTCGTCTGGAGAAGTTCATCCTTTCCTTTTTTTGTATCTATCTGCATTGCTCCCAGGCGGTCTTCAATGCTAACCTGTAGAACAGCAATGATCCATTAATGTTAACCAGAGAAGGCCTAAAGTAGTTTGGAGACAAAAAACACAGCTGATTTACACTTCAACCCTGAAAAACACAAATATGTCCACTCTCATTCCAAGTGAATCTCATTACCATAATGCTATGTTGTAGACAAAGGAAATATCTATACTCCAAGCTTCCAGACTCCAGTGAAAAAGCCAACTATGCAAGGAGCACATGGTGTGAAATTTTTTGTTTTTTTTGAGACAGAGCCTCAAAAGCTATCACCTGGGTAGAGTGCCATGGCGTCACAGCTCACAGCAACCTCCAACTCCTGGGCTTAAGCGATTCTCTTGCCTCAGCCCCCCAAGTAGCTGGGACTACAAGCACCTGCCACAATGCCCGGCTATTTTTTGTTTGTAATTGTCATTGTTTGGCAGGCCCGGGCCAAATTCAAACTCTAGTGTATGTGACAGGTGCCTTAGCTGCTTGAGCGAGCCATGATTTGAAAATGTTAACTTCATGAAAATCCTCCTACTTGTAGACTCAGAAAAAGACCTGGTATTGGCCTACTAAAGCAAAAGAGAAGACCTATGCTCACAGAAGTTTCCTTGGCTATAAGTATCCCTTGGCTTCAACCTCACATCTGTAAAAGGAAGCAAAGCACTTTCAAAAAAAGCATAAAGACAAACTATGTTCCTAAAACAATTTGTAAAATGTCTTCCTATTATTTTATTAGTGAGTTCCAAATAACAACTTATTAACTAGAATATACGTTACAATCAACCATCCTTAATAAGTATTTAAAATTTAAGTATAAACAAACATGATGCAATTTGATATGCCAAAACTCAAATACAGAACTGATCCCTGATTGAAGCAAGCCTAACCAACCATTATCTGTGAGCCCTTTGGTAACTAAATCAAAACATAAACCTATTCTATACTAACAAAGCAAAAAGATGTGCTTTGGGTAAAGCCCATTATGGTTATCCTAACATTTGAAAAACAAAACAAACAAAAAAGGGCAGGAGAAAATTAAAGAGTTGAATCTAGGCCAAGTTAAAGAAAGTTGGCATTTAAAGTCAGATACCATGTTATTGAGGTATAATTTTTATGAACAGCTCTGTTGTCCCCAAACCCTCACTCTATTAATAAAGACATTTTAAGATCAGCTACAGAAACATAATCTTTCTCTAAGAATAAGTAAACTAAAATCCTAGACAACCTAGCTAAGAGTGAAGACTGTGAATGAAAGATAAAAGGGACTCTGCACATACAAGTACAGCAACCACAAGAGGGTTTAGGAACGGAAAAAAGTAATGAAGTTTTAAAGTGCTCCAAGCGTGATTTAAAGACTAACTGGCACTAAATCAGCCATGACTGCTCAGACAGCCAAGAGAAAAGAGGCATCACTGGACCTCAGCAACATGCGAAACCCAATGAAAGTCATCACAGCAAATCCAGGCTTGATTTATTTAACTGTAAGTTACCCAGCTATTAACAATAGCTACTTATAAAAGGTCCATCTTTTCTACTGAACAGAGGCTAAATAAGCCTTATAAAGGTGACAATCTAGAATTTTAGGATCTATGGTGGCAGGGATAAAAGAGAAACCTCAGTTAAATTTCTAAAGATTTGGGGCGGCACCTGTGGCTCAAAGGAGTAGGGCACCAGCCCCATATACTGGAGGTGGCGGGTTTAAACCTAGCCCCAGCCAAAAAAAAAAAAAACCTGCAAAAAATTTTTAAAGATTTGACTCTGGTCCTACACAATGTTCTTATTGTTATTTGCAAGTAAACTTAAGTATCAAATTCAAATATATGGTAAAGGTGTTTTACCTCATCTCCCTCTAATTTCCTCTTATTCTCTACTTGCTTAGTTTGTGGAGAAGCAGGCTTGACAGCTGCATGATGACCAGGAATCCCAGGCACCAGGACTTTTGCTTCAGAATTCATCACTGGCGTTCTCACCTGTTAAACAGGAATAGCAGGGATGGAAAGGAAAATCATGCCTTAATTCTCACGTATCAAGTTTTAAAATTATAATCTGAAAAGTTCATGGTTTTAAAGTTTGTAACATCACATTAAGAGTAAAAATCAAGAAATACAAAGTCTACAGACGACACAAGGATACACTGACTTCAACAATGGTACAGAGTTACGTTACACATTTTATGACTACCTCAGAATTCAATCTTTGCCAGAAATGCTCAGACAGCCAAGAGAAGGTGTCATCTCTGAAACTCAGCCAGTAGCGAAACCATTTGGATGTCATCACAGCATTATTTTGGCTTTCCTCTTCTCATTAAATCACCAAATACACAATATCTACATTTAGATACCCAGTTTTATTCAAAACAAGGCACCACAGTGATACCCTTATGCCTAAGCATGGTAGTAAATTCCAGCCCACACCATCACTTTATTACAACCTGAAACACAGCATTCCTCTCAAAGTTATGCTCTTTTAGGTACTGAGATTGATAAAAATAATGTATTGATAAATATGATACTGCTACTTATTCCTGCATACTTCCTTGCCCACACAATCATGCATGGTGGGCAGGGGAAGAACTAAATTCAAGGTCTTCAACTGCTGGTCATCTATTCACTCATTCACTCTAAGAGTATAGAAATAACCACATTTTACCACCTTTGTATCTAAAACCATAATCCCACAAAATTTATAAGGACACAGTATATTAAAGAATGAAAAGATATGCATAAAAAGTCAGTTTAAACATATCACGTAACAATTCAAGTCACCCAATTCATCCAAAGAAAACTCTTTTTCCTTAACTTTAAATTTGTCATGTGCTCACCTTTGTAATAGCTGTTTCTACTTTTGGGGCCCAGCAGTTCGAAATATCTCTTATTAAACACATATGAGGTTCTTTGGAGTTTAGGGCCTGGGAATATATATTTAAAAGAAGGGGAAAAGCGAAGGGAGAAAAAGAGAGATAAAGACAGTGTCAAAGAACCAGATATTGGGACAAATGATAAACAAATTACTACTTACGCATTTTTACAACAATTTTAAAAAGTGTGGAAGGCTTGCACACTAAGCTGTTAGCTGCAGTTACCACGCAGATTGATGGCAGTTAGAGAACACGGGTAAACTATGAGGACACTGGGAAATGTTTCCTTTCCTCAGTTTTGAACTGCTTGAATTGTCTGCATTTATGGTTTGTAAAAGCCAATAGAGTTTTAAGCTGTAACAGGTTTTAAAGAAAACACACCAGTTCATCAGCCTTATATGGAATAATCTGTGCTGAAAATAAATGGTCCTCCCCTATAATTTCAATTATCCTTTCCACAAGCAAATCAAAGGTAACACTGTTGATTAACAAAATGCTCTCAGGCAGAGCTGTATGTCCTGGCATGACTGAAGTGGGGAGTTGGGGAGTCAGGTGCAGCAAACTACATAGGTACTGAAAAAGGTTTGTTTCTACATAATTCCACATGTCTACACAAGTAATAAATATCTGCCAGGACAAAGAACAAACAGGTAACAGTGGCCACATCCAGAGAGGGAGATTCACACATGCCAAGGACTCATATTTATAGCTTAGCATTCTTCTTTTTAAAAAGTAAACAATATGCATTAAATTAATATAAACGCAAGCTGAAGAAACAGTAACTTCCATAATAAATTACAAGTCTTCACAGAAACTTTTATACTAAAAATAACAATAGCCAGGCACAGTGGCTCACGCCTATAATCCTAGTACTCTATCTGGGAGGCCAGGCCAGGCGGATCACCTGAGCAAGAGTGAGACCCCGGTCTCTAAAAACTAGCCAGTCACTGTGGCAGGCACCTGTAATCCCAGCTCCTTGGGAGGCTGAGGCAAGAGGATCGCTTGAGCCCTGGAGTTTAGAGGTTGCTGTGAGCTAAGACACCACAGGAGTCTACCCAAGGGGACAAAGCAAGACTCTGTCTCAAAAAACAAAAAAGTTGAATCACTGCACTATCCATTACATTTCAACTTAGAAAATTCAATGGATGCTGATACAAAGGGTCTTACTATTAATATTTACATTTTATGTAGCTGAACAAACTTCAACATGTCCTATCTATGCTGACCAATTAGTAGACCACTAGGAACACATGGCTACTGAGCACCTGAAATGTGGCTAGTCCAAACTGAGGTGTGCTGTAGGTGTAAAATATATACCAGATTTCCAAAACATAACACATGTATTACAAAATTAGAATATAATGTTTTATTTTCACTAAGTGTTAAAATGACATTTTAATATGCTGCATTGATTAAAGAGTTCTTTTTTTGGTAGCAGAGTCTCACTTAGTCACCCTGAGTCGCCTCTTGCCTCAGCCTCCCAAATATCTGAGACTATGGCACCCACCCAAAAGCCCAGCTAGTTTTTCCATTTTTAGTAGAAATGGGGTCTCACTATGCTCAGGCTGGTCTCAAATCTTGAGCTCAGGCAATCTACCCACCTCAGCCTCCCCAGAGGGCTAGGATTACAGGTGTGAGCTACCAGGCCCAGCCCATATAGAGTTCTCACAAATTAAATAACCCTGTGAAAAATCCTTAAAGGAGAATGTCTTGTCTCTTTTAAAATATTACAATGAGTACACCAATGTATCATTTTTTAAAAGTCACTCTTTTCTATGTACATGTTGATACTAAACTGTTTTACTCTGAAGTAGCAGCTACATACCACTCGCTCAATAGCAGGCTGAAACCAACTGCCATATACAAGCAACAATGACATTTTGTCTGAGCAAAAACCAGCAGCTAGAATAGGGATGGGTTTTGGTGTTGATTTCTTGCCTTTCCCAGGTGTTGCCATCTGAATTGTGCAGTTTGAAGTCAAAGGTTTTTTGCAGTATCTAGAAATAGAAGAAAAAATGAGATCAGAGAATTTAAAATAACATCTCATACTAATTCTCTGAAGCTGACATCAAATCATAAAATGCAACAACCCCTAGCACAAGTACTCTTTCCAAGACTTCACCTATCCCAACCAACTCAAAACCTCACCACCAAAATGGCCTTGAGATCCACCTGCCCCTCAACTCCATTTTGTCAGGACCCAAGAAAAAGAACCAAGTTCCCAAATGATTTCTCACCACCCTGAGCTTCAGCTCCCCCTCCCCAGTGGTTCTGTATGTGCCTTACTGCCACCAGCCCCATCTCCAGTCACTACTAATCCCTCAAACCCTCACCACAACCCCTGGAACGGAGTTTCAGCAGGCAAGTTGTCTTCCATGTCTCTCTCAGGGCGCTCTGCCCCTTCTGGCTCTATTCTGCAGCCTGACCAGTTGTAGCTGTTTTCTATCCCACACCCTTTGTGCCATGGGCATTAGACATGATTTAAAGTGCTTTCCTTGTCCTTCACTCACAATTCAAGACAACAGTCTGTCTCTATTTTGTCACCAAAGCCTCTGAACTGTTGTCACCTGAATACTGGCTATTTCTCTAGCCTGCTACCATCCAGTGATCTCTCTTGGTCACTCTCCTACATTTCTTAAAGGTTTCAGTGGCTCCCTGTCACCCTTTCAAGTATATCCTCTATGTACTTTTATCACTATGTTAGTAAAAACCTCAAATTTTATATATGAAATGTTAAATTCACTCTAGGAGTAGAACAATGGAGTGAGACTCAAATTTTATAATCAAGTGTCTGTGCACCATGAATGTTTTATAAATAAGCACATATTACTTTCCTGATTTGTTTACATTTAAATTCCTATACTAATATTTTAAAAGAATCATTTTAACGTTTAATGCAATTGTGTAATAACTGAGTTTCAGACAGTTCTAACAGAGGTTAGCAAACTTCTTATAAAAAGAGCTAGACAGTAAATACTTCCTCATTTTCAGGCCCCTTATGGTTTCTACTGAATCTACTTGCCAGCCAAAGTTTGCTGACCCCTGCTCCATGACTACTACAGCAATCCTCCCCGTCTGAACAGAACAATGCTGTCAGAGGGAAGTAAAGACAAATAGGCATCACCATAATTCACAAGCAAATCTCTCCAACTGAACTGCTTTTTTTTTGAAACTTATCATTAGATAAATTTATCATTTACTAAATAAGCATAACATAAAAATCCACTCTCATAATCACAAATATAGAAAGAAATAGCCTATGACTCTAAAACTCTGAGCTCTCATTAGGCATGTATGTAGTCACACGGATAAAGGAGAATACATTCAAAACCATCTAAAACAATAAGATACAAAGAATAATGAGGGAGGAGTATGACAAAGTAAAAAAAGAGAAATTTATGACTTGAAAAATTCTTACTTACCCATTTAATATGTGTTCAAAAAGATGCACTTGACCATCTTTGCAAACAACAGCTAACTTGACAGGCTAAAAGAAAAAAATAACTGATTAATTATAAGATAATATGCTTTAGTCCCCAATCTAACTTATGAAAACTCAACTCTCCTCACCACCCTTGTTTTTTTTTTTTTCTTTTTGAGACAGAGCCTCAAGCTGTCCCCCTGGGTAGAGTGCCATGGCATCACAGCTCACAGCAACCTCCAACTCCTGGGCTGAAGCGAGTCTCCTGCCTCAGCCTCCCAAGTAGCTGGGATCACAGAGGCCCGCCACAACGCCTGGCTATTTTTTTGGTTGCAGCCACCATTGTTGTTTGGCGGGTCTGGGCTGGATTTCAAACCCGCCACCTTAGATGTATGTGGCTGGCGCCTTAGCCACTTGAGCCACAGGCGCCAAGCCTCACCACCCTTTAAATAACCAAACAGAAAGTTAGGAGAGTAAGGACACTTTTGGAAATAATTACCTCTGTCAAAATAACAATTAATGTGGTTATCATCGAGGTTTGAAATAAAACGGTTAGGCCAAGAAGACAATACAGTTAAAGAGAATGAATGGAACCTCATTAGAATTAGACGAATAACTTTATGTTACCACAGAGGCTGGTAACATAAAATGGACATGCCTCACGTGTCTGAGCAGTGAGGACTGCTGAAAATGCCATTTTGCGTGGGTAGCTGAGAAGGCACTGGGGCGAGTTCTAAGTCATCATGCCCTCAATTCCTTCTCTGCCTTTGTTTTGATTGTTTGCTCACATTCTTGCTGTGAGCCTCTCTATAGCTCTACTTTTTAAAGTTCTGAAATTTTTATGATGAGAGCTTAAATGAATACTAAGCACTTCTCAACTGTTGCTATCTCTGGTTATAAATGCAACAGAACTCAGGAAGTAATCAATATATTGGGAGAAAATAAATATGTAACATGTTCTAAGACTAACTTTGCATTGTGAAAACAATGAAAATTTTAAGACATTTACTGGTATATTTAAAGATAAGCCAAATATTCTGCCATATCATGATCATAGTTTTGTTTTAGAATTGTAAGTTATTACTGCAACCACAATTTTATACCAAGCGCCAGAATGAGACCATGGCTTTCTAATCTGTCATTCCTGGTTTAATATCTTAAACTTCAGTAACTTTTTTAAAATGCCCTGCATCCCTTTATTTTATTATCAATAATTTTAAGCAAATGCCAAAATTATCCAAGATAAACTGAATTAAATCTAGAATCTAAAAGTAGTATCAGAATTCGGTCAGAAAAAGACAAAGTGAACACGCAATTCATTCTCTACATTAGACTAGGGCCAAGTTTTCATTCTGAAAGTCAGTTTTCTTCTATAAATTACTTGCATTTAGATTTAAAGAACCTACCTCTAAAAATCACACAAACACAAATTCACAAAGTTTAAAACCTTTTAGGAAGCTACTTCAAGCTAAACCAACGTCTGCGTTTAGTGGTTCTATAAACAAACACTAACATGCTTCTCACTTCATCAGTTTTCTATGATCAGAACATCTGACCATGAGATAGTGCACTGATCACACTGAATGTACACCAGCCTACCCCAGAACAATTAACTTCAAAAAGCAGTGAAGTATCATTGTGGTTAAGCACAGGATCCCTACTCAAGTTTTCTAAAAATACTCATATATCTCATTTCTACCAAATGTAGATGCCATAACAAAAATTCTTGTAAGGAATCACTGATCTAATCATCAGCGTCCACCACTTCAAATAAGAAAGTCAAATTTGTTAGACACAGAGTCAATATAAACCAGAATGTTTTGATTTTTTAAACCAATACTTTTTCCACTATAACGCTTACTAAAAAATATTAAAAAATGATGAAAAACTTCAAAATCATCCGTAAATTCTTGTTAGAGGTTTGTGAAACACATGCATTTCAAAACCTAGAATGTGTTAAAAGTGAAACATCAGAGGGTGGCAGGTTCAAACCTGGCC